CCAGAGATTTTTAAGGTGCCTCCCAAATTTTCGTGTGTGTCCAAATTGTCTTCTCTGATTTTGGTGACCCCCAGGACATCAGAATACTCTGTGCCCAGTCAGTACCCCAAGAAAAACAGGCTAGATCCAGTCCGCAGGACAGGCCTAGGCAGGGCGTGGTGACAGGTTTCCCTCCAGGCTTCTCTGTCCTCCCGTGAGACCGACTGGGGTTTTGCTCCCCTTCTCTGCACCAGCTGGGAGAGGACACGGGCTGGCCCCTTTCATGTTTGCTTACTGGTCTGCTTTCTGGGCACACTGGAAACAGTAGAGTCACGCTGATGCCCAGAGCTCAGTACTGCCTGCAAGTGGAGAGGCTGGGGCCTGCCTGCGGTGTCCAGCACTGGGTCTCCTCCCCGGTAGGGCTGGTCCACGTGCACTGACCACGCGCTGTGGGGCGTGCTCGCACTGACCTGGAGCTGGGCGGAAGCACACTGATCCCGAGCTAGGCAGAGCAGGAGCCAGGAAGTGTGGAGCCCACCAGGCTTCCCAGGCCACTTAGTCAGTCTCAGCTCCAGCGGCTGCGGGTATTCCTGGGTGTGGGCGGGCCCTGGAGAGTGCACTGAGAGAGAGGAGGAGGCTGCAGGGCTGATCAGCTCTCCAAGGATGCAGCCATGATGGTCAAGGTGCTGGATTCCCATAAGGACTACGGCAGTTGAAGGCCTGGGCCTGGGGGCCGGCAGGTGGCATGGTGGTTAAGGGTGCTGGACTCCCACAGGGCAGAACGCAATTAGAGTCCTGGACCTGGTGGCTTGTTTTCTCACCCCACCCCCCCACCACCCCTCTCTGTCCCTCTAAAATAAGTTAAATAAATAAATTAATAAAAACAAAGGTCCTGGACCTGGCAGGCCCACCTCAAACTGCCTCTCCGCTTGTGATCTAGGGAGAACTGTCTCTGCCTCGTGCCTTCTGCTCCCGGGGCCAGGAGGCTTAGGGTTCCTTCTTTCGGTTGGAAGCTGTGAGGTCGGGTGTAATGGGTAGAAAACGTCTCCTTGTTAGTGATGAATGGGCCTGGAGTTATCACTGGAAACCGCGCAGGAAGTGCTAATTAGCTTCTGAGAACCCAGAGGGCAAGGCGGTCTCCGCATTCGAACCCCGAACCCGGGTGGTAGTAGTCACACTGGACGGGAGGTGCTGGAGGAAGCTCCGTAAACCCCTTCCAGGGCCATGCAGGGTTTCCTTTCCCAGCCTTCACTGCTCTGACCCTAGAGGGTGGAGCCCGGGGATGGAGGCGCTCCCAGTCCTAAAACCACCGCTTTTTATTTTTCTTCCCACTCGCCAGAGGGTGCTTGAGTTCACGGGAGAGAGGAGGGGAACCGAGCGGGGTGGCCCCTTTCATGTCTGCTTACTGGTCTCCTGCTGTCTGGCCACAATGGAAATAGCAGAGTCACGCTGATGCCCAGAGCTCAGTACTGCCTGCAAGTGGAGAGGCTGGGGCCTGCCTGCGGTGTCCAGCACTGGGTCTCCTCCCCGGTAGGGCGGGTCGACGTGCACTGACCGCGCGCTGATTGTGGGGCATGCTCGCACTGACCTGGAGCTGGGCGGAAGCACACTGATCCCGAGCTAGGCAGAGCAGGAGCCAGGAAGTGTGGAGCCCACCAGGCTTCCCAGGCCACTTAGTCAGTCTCAGCTCCAGCGGCTGCGGGTATTCCTGGGTGTGGGCGGGCCCTGGAGAGTGCACTGAGAGAGAGGAGGAGGCTGCAGGGCTGATCAGCTCTCCAAGGATGCAGCCATGATGGTCAAGGTGCTGGATTCCCATAAGGACTACGGCAGTTGAAGGCCTGGGCCTGGGGGCCGGCAGGTGGCATGGTGGTTAAGGGTGCTGGACTCCCACAGGGCAGAACGCAATTAGAGTCCTGGACCTGGTGGCTTGTTTTCTCACCCCACCCCCCCACCACCCCTCTCTGTCCCTCTAAAATAAGTTAAATAAATAAATTAATAAAAACAAAGGCCCTGGACCTGGCAGCCCCACCTCAAACTGCCTCTCGGCTTGTGATCTAGGGAGACCTACCTCTGCCTCGTGCCTTCTGCTCCCGGGGCCAGGAGGCTTAGGGTTCCGTCTTCCAGGTGGAAGCTGTGAAATCGTAATGGGTAGAAAACGTCTCCTTATTAGTGATGAATGGGCCTGGAGTTATCACTGGAAACCGCGCAGGAAGTGCTAATTAGCTTCTGAGAACTCAGAGGGCGAGGCGGTCTCCGCACTCGAACCCCAAAACCTGGTGGTAGTAGTCATACTAGACGGGAGGTGCTGGAGGGAACCCCTCCGACGGCCATGCAGGGAGTTTCCTTTCCCAGCCTTCGCTGCTCTGACCCTAGAGGGTGGAGCCCGGGGGTGGAGGCGCTCCCAGCCCTAAAACCACAGCTTTTTATTTTTCTTCCCATTTGCCAGAGGGTGCCTGAGCTCACGGGAGAGAGTGGGGAAAGGAGCGGGCAGCCCATGGGCGGTGGCCACACCACAACCCTTCCCCTCGGTTACTATGGCCTTCAGGATTCTGGGCACCTGCATGCATGTGCCCCACGGGCTTTCCACTTGCGCTGTCGTGGGGTCTGGCCGCCCCACCCGGCTCTGCTGTGGTCTGCAGCCTGTCCCTCCCTGTCCAGCACCACCTGCATCGGCACCACCCCGCCTGAGCTCAGGTCTGGTGCTGAGAGGTTCTGATCACCCTCTCCGGTTCTGGAGCGGAGCAGAGGTCCTGCGGGCTCCAGCTGACAGCCGCCCCTGTTCTCCAAGTTTTCCCAGTGGCCTCCGACCCTCTTCGGGGGCTCTGGCCATGGCTCGGTTCCCACTGGGTGCAGCCGGACCGGGCGAGTCTGGGTCTGCAGCCCCTGTGGCTCAGGCCTGGGGAGCTGGGGACACTATACCGACAGCAAGTCTGGCCTCTAGTTTTGCTAATAACATATATCTAAGTTCTTTTTAAATTTTGTACTGATTTCTCCTACACTTAAGGTTTTTACAGATTTGATTTCTTAATTCCCAATTATTTGAAATCTTAGATAAATATTACTTTTTCATTGAATTTTACTTTATTGTGGTCAGAAAACAATGCTCTGTATAATTTCTTTCTTTTGAACTACACTGAGAATCATTTCATGACCACCCTCTGACCACTTCCATGAGCTTTCCATAAGGACTTTTTAAGAATAGGTCAGGGAGCCAGCCAGTGGATGGCAGTCAAGGGGGCTGGACTCCCACATGGCCCACCCGGGATCTTG